TATACACGGAGAGAGTATAAATATATGTATGCAGTTATATCACATCATGGAGCTATGTGACTCTAGTCACGCTAAGCATGATATCATTTAACTTTTAAAGTTACACTCCAGGCCCATAAAGAGCACTTTAGCTTGCTGAAAAGTTTTATGTATGAAAAACGTGTCTTCTTTCTTTCATTTGAAAATGAAAAAGTGCAGCTTTCAGTGGAAATTGACACTTTACAAATTAACCTGGTTACACCATCCTGGCTTTTCAAACAGACAGCGGGTCCTGTTACTTCCTGGTTTGCTTAGCTTGTTTGCACTGAACTCAAGAGGCAGCAATTGCACCTGCCTTGCAAAGACTTCTCATTGAGCTGCATTGGAAAGTCTGTGATTGGACAATCACAGAAAGTTTGGGCGGGGTTTGAAGGGGAGGGCTTGTAAAGGTTGCAGACAAGAGATCTGCCGCATTTGCAAACTGTTTTTAGATATAACTCCAATGAAAAAAATACAAGTTGTCATTTGTGATATATCTACTAAACTTTTTAAATTGTTTTCTATTTGGGCAGTGGAGTTTCCCTTGAAATGTTTTTAAACAGCACTGTAAGCAAAAAAGAGATCCCTTCAAATATAACACATTGTAATTGTAGGCTCTGTATGGATTGTCTTGTTTGAAAATACCATGGGGCACATGTGGAATCAGGAAAATCGACACTCAATCACTTTTTCTGCCCACAAATGTAATATGACAGTGCTTGTGCAGTATGTTGATTGTTTATTGAACCATAGAGTGTTTTTTGTAACCATCTACGGTTCTTTCCGTTAGTCTAATCAATCGCTTTGCATCAATTTATTGTATTCCAGCAATTGTTATAGAATAGTCAATGTCCTTTGAAAACCACAATATACTCAAGCAGGGGAAATCTAATTTTTTTTTTCTTTATTCTTTTTTACTTTTCTTAGATTATTTAGAAAAGTTATAACCTGCTGATTTACCTGTGCCTTGTATGACACAATTGGAGGTATGCATGAAAATGTAAGCTTGCTTTTTTGTGGGAGTTTTCTGTCTCTTTAACTGTTTGCACCTATTTATTCCTTTATTTGCGCCAAAATATTGTATAGAGCAGGGGTTCTCAAGCCAGTTCTCAAGGACCCCCTACCAGTCCAGGATTGAGGGATTACCCTGTTCTGTCTAAAGTGTTTGTTTCACCCCCACCTTCCAAAGCACATTAGGGTAATCCCTAAATCCTGGACAGTTCGGGGGTTCTTGAGGACTGGGTTAAGAACTCCTGGTATAGAGGAATAAAAATTGTCGAAAAGACACATTATTCTGGTGTGTTATAGAAACTGCAAAAAAATTGTACAAAGCGTGCAATAACAGAAAAAAAAAATAGCTCATGGGTACAAAACTATTGCTAACAGGAAAGTGAATGAGACATTTTTTATACACAACCCCCATTGTTGGATATGTAGTTACAATGGATAATCAAAGGTGACAGGCACTGCAGAAACCTTGCAAGTACATAAGAGAAACACGTACAAATGTACCATGCAAATGTTGAAAGGGTGTTTGAAACAAGTACAGAAAAATAGATCCGGACATTCTCACAACCCTTGTATTGCCAGAACTACTGACATCTCTACACCGCTGTAGATACAGTCATCTTAAATTCCCTCTGTTTATCCCTTTGAGGATAGTTTCAAACACAAATACTTTGACGAGCTTCATTGGAAGTGACTTGTGCAGGTATGAATTTAATAATATAAGCCACAGTGAGAGGCCACTTTCTTTTTGCAAAGCCCGCAAAACCATCTGGGAGCTTGACTATCAATTATTGTTATGTTTAATGAGAGGTAGTGGAGAGGAGGAGAATGGCGAACACCTACAGTTCTGTTTCCCAATGCTTTCTAAAGTAGTTTAGATGTGATTTATTTTCTGTCCTATAACACCTACGCCCACCTACATACATAACACAAATTACATCAATGGTCATCACATTCCATCACTGTCTAGACTCTGAAAACATCATGTTCCGGAACACAATGTTTATGTTCAAACAGCATAATCTCACAGAGTAAGTTGGGTTTTATGCTAGACATCACTTTGCAGAGAAGAATATTAATATTGGTGAAGCGTGGTTACATAGAAGAGCATTATGTGTCATCATAACCAGCGAGAAAAAGAATGACTGCTGTGTGAGGAAGTAGAGAGATTGTGAGGAGAATTACTGAAGAGATGAGCAATATGAGAAGGGGATTTGGAGGAGATGTAAAGAAAGAAAGTGTACGGGTAGAGGCAACAGATGTAGAAAGCTATAGAGAATCGATGCAAAGAAAAATAATGTGGAGAGAACAAATGAAAGAGGTAAAAAGAAAGAAAAATAGCAGAAGAAGGGAGTTTGAGGAAATTTGGAGAAATGTTAGAAGGTCAAAGAGGGTGACAAAAGAGTAGGAAAAAAGAGAATAGTTGAGGAAGGTGTTTGGGAATGAAGGGGAAAAGGGAGAATAGGTGGACCAGAAATATTATGACCGAAGGTGCAAATTACTATGGTAATACACATATCTCCCAAGTGTCCCTATTTAGGAGGACAGTCCCTATTTTGAGCACAAATTGAGCACAAGTTTCTCTTTTCTATCGTTAAGTCCAGTAATGTGTATTTAATCTACAATAAATGTGCTTATAAGGCAGCCTGTATAAATAAAATGCATTGTTCTTGTTCTATATGACGTTTCAGTTGCATAAATTGTTATTAGTAAGTCACCTAAAATTTCTCCAGAAAACACACCACACCCCACACACGCCCGAAAATTGAATTGTCCCTCTTTGTCCATTTTAAATGTTGGAAGGGCTGTAATACGTGTGGCTTTATGTCTTTTAATATGCCTTGATTGAGAGTTTAAACAAAGTACAGTAAAGGTGTACAAAATGTAAGATGCAAATGAGAGATGACCAACTCCCACCTGATTCAATGGGGACCTCTTGGACCCATTTTTATTTTTAACATTCTCTATTCATGACAATGCAAAAGAATATGGATAACTTTATGCCACAACAGCACTGGCAAACTCTGCAGTTAACGACATGTTAGTACAATGTCATATCACTTTGCACTTTTTAGTGAACGTAAAATAAAATCAATTAATCAAGTTAGGCATTTAGGTGAGGTAATTGTCAGGTTAAGACAGCAGACTACACAAGAGAAATGCAGAAGGTGAAACCACCAGTAGCTTTAAAATTGAGCTCACTGAGGTTTAAGGCAGAGAAAATAAGGCACGCAAGGGTGTGAGACTAGGAAAGAGCAATGAGATGCTTTGTACATTTATCCAGTTCCTGTGGCATTCAGACACAGTCCAGGTAGATAGAAAAGGTGACAGTAGCCTCTCTGGGTTCAATGCTTCACTGCAGCACTCCAGGTCTTGAGGCCACAGGCGTCTTCACCCACAACTATAGAAAGTCCTTCAGACTGCAGGGACCTATGTTCTTCGTAGGTGCGTAGGTAACCTATGTTACCTCCCCTTGGGATTCCATCCAGAGGGGAGTTTCTGAACAGGAACTCTGTTTTCTGGCTAAACCACAGGAACCAGCTGTGTGACTTGAGTCCCGCATCTTTTCAGGTTCCACCAAAACTTATGGCAGATGGTGTCAAATGTGTTAAGGAAGCCTTCCATCCAGCTCTGCGTCCAAGCTTGCCCAACTTGCTTTGCAGGAGCAGCGCCGTCGGCCATTTTAGATAGGCTGTGTGGGAGCCTTCAATGCAGGATTCCCTCAGGAGCAGCAGAAGAGAGACTAGGTAGTGCCTCTCCCTGTGATATATGTATCTATCCTATATCTACATCAAGGAGTTCCCATAATTCATGACTGGCTCTGATTATAATAAATGTTATTTAATATCTAAGATGTACTGTACAACAATTAGCCATGACATTGTTTTTACCATTCTCACAAATTTACTTATAACCTTCCTTTAAAGAAAAACTATAGTCTTTGGAATACAAAACTGTATTCTTAACACTACAGTGTTCCTCTGCCTCCGCACCTCCCATCCGGTTACCTCTGGATAAAACCTTTTAAAAACTTACCTGATTACAGCACTGAGGTCACTGTGGAATAGGTAGACTAACAAACTTATAACTGAAACAAAGCAAGTTGGACAGAAAAGAACAGAAAATGGTGAAGGTTCTGTGCAAAAAAGCTTTAGAGGGCTAAATATATATGTTATTATTTTATATATCAGAGTATTATTGGTTCGATTTCCAATTTCCAAAAATAGGCATTGGTGGAAACTGAAGCATCACCACCTACTGCTACTGACAAATTATTATATAATTATATAATGATTAAAGTAGAACTTTCACCATCTGGGGAATTTCAATATATTTCAATATTTTTCCAAAGACCCAGATGGTGACGTTGTTACTGGGTGGCCAGGAGGTGCAGGCATAGTTGATTTTACTTTTGTAAACCTGTCCCTCAAAGGAGCCTCCATTCTCTTCCAGCCAGCCCTCTTCTGCTGAAGCACCAGGAATTGATGTCACTGCTGTACTCTCATGTATGCGCAAGAGTAGGACATTGAGGTCTATGGAGTTCCCCACGAGATCACAGGATCTTCCATAGATTAAGCCCATTTCCAGCAGCCATCACTGGTTATAGCTGGGGAATTGACACTTCTTGACAGCAATAACTCGCGGAGTCAAGAAGTGTCAAGCCTAGGGAAAATACTGAGACAAAGTAGTCCTCTGTAGTTTCTGCCGCACCACAAAGAGTCTGCATATGCTCTGCATACAACCCACACCCACCAATGGCTTTGGTAAATCATAAGTTGTGTACCACAAGATGGTTGCACAACGTTTGGGTCTTTGGTGTAGGTAGCAATATCCTGATGGATTTTATGTTGCTGATGGCAATAAAACATATTCAGACAATTCAATAAGCCTCAGATCCAGGAAAATAAATCTAATTGTTTTCCTTTATTGTAGTCACTCAGTAAGAATGAGACTACACATATCACTTAAGACACTTAGCACATATCTTGCTCGCCAGATTGCTGGGTCTTCAATGCAGCACTCCACAGCTGATTAATTAGCACAATACTTTTCTTCGTAGTAGATACTGAAAAGCATTTGCAGCTCCCATACGGTGTATCTCTGCAGATCAGGAAAACTCTTTGGTACAGGGTGATCCTCAGAGCTTCTGCAATCACTTTTTCTGAGAGCACAGCTATGCGCAACCGAAACCTAGCCCAGTCCCCAGAGCCTCTCCTTGTTCCCATCAGACTTCTCTTCTTTATTATCTTGGTACACTGTCTATCAGGTAACTGGATGGGAGGGCAAGGTGGTCACAGCACCGAAACTGTAGGAACTGTAGCCTGGTTACAACTATAATTTATTTTATTTATACTAAAGGACCCAGTAATAGAAAGACAAATAGGTCCATGATACCCCTTTTGGTCTTATCAATATCACATAGAGGAAGCATTTGGACTCATATAGGCACTAATCAATTACATTCTCCAATCACCTGGTTTCCTGCACTCATATCCATTACCAGCATTTTAACTCTATTTGCAGCCGCCTCTCAGCAATTTTGTTTTGTTTACATTTTATATTTAAATTAGAATGTATGTACTTTAAGTACATAATTCCCACACAAATAAGCGTGTTCTGCAAACCTGCTGTTACTTTCCTATTCGAACAGCTGTGCCATTATGTATCCATTAAGATGAGGGAAACGATAAGCACAGGAAACAACAGGGGGACCCTAAATTACAGTCCTTAATATTGTTTTCTGCTTTATTATTTCTCAAATATCAAAACAGTGTGCGGTATTATGGGAGCTTTTTTTTTTAATGTAGACTTCACAAACACTGCAGCACAGAACACAGTACACACAAAATATAAATGAGAAAAAAATATATATAGAAAATTGAATTTCGGTTAAAATAATAACCAGACATATTTAAAAAGTGTGGTATAACGCTAACAAATCTATATATGCAAAATAAAGAAATCCAGTATTTGTGTTTCATTGGGAGCAATATATACTAAGGAAAAAAACATATTACCTGTCTCTGAGGTGTGGTATTTTTCAGCTTCAAGATTGTCACTTCAGAAATCTTTGGACGGCTAAATACCTAAGGCAAGGTTAGGCAAAATAACCCCTAAAGTACCGAACAAAATGTCTCAATACATGCCCAAATATACGAATGGACATGTGGCGTCACGAATGGTCAACTTAGAACACAGAAGTAAGTTGTATTTTTTTTTTACTTAGCTCTGATACTTATTCACCCCAGTTAACCACATGGACCTGTTTCTTCTCCACATTAAGGCTTTGACTTTAAGGAAGGCGATTGTTATTAGATCTGTCCTTTAATAAATATAACAGCATGTCATCTATTTACAAAGCGTGGGCCAATTTAATCACAATATACTAGAGCATGTTTTAGTATGATACACATATAATAATTATTAAAGTGTTGACAGTGTTATTTTTAGGTCTTTCTTTTTTCATTCATGTCTGGTCTCCTTTAATTAGGTTTTTATTATCATGTAGATGTGCCATACAGGATCAGAGCTTTGATCAAAGTCCAGGATACAAAAGATGGCCTCCTACAACACAACTTGCATTGAAATCCTCCTCTAAGGGCTGTGTTGCCAGGCCAGTTGGTGTGGGTGCAAAGTAGCCAGAAGCCAACAACCCAGTCAGTTAGTCAAATGAAGGGTTGATTTGTCTAAGGATTTGTTCCCGCATCAGCAACTAAGGAGTCAGGAGATAGGAGGATTAAAGTTAAATGTAAGAGGGTCACACTTTAAGAGACTAGTAAGGATGAATACATGCAGTCATAGCCTTGGTTAAAGGAACACTGACTTTATCTCCTTAAAGTGGTTATGGTTCCTGGAGTGCCCTGGTACCATCCCACTGTTCTGTGATAAAGCATTTTGAATTACCTTGACACTGAATAAGGGTCCCTGTCTGAGCTGCTGGTACCATGGAACCATCATTAAATGGGATGAAGTGGTTATGGTGCTTAGAGTGACCCTTTAAGGTATAATAACTTGTAGTAATCAAATAAACACTAACTGGAGAAGTTGGAAAAGCATAAGGAACAAAAAACATTAGTGCTTTAGATACTAGCATAGGTATTAATGCAGGTACCTAAGAGGAGACAGTAATACATATGATAGTTATTGGTGATGGTAATTAACAGCAATACTTATCTGTCTCCTAGTCTTTAGTTAAAAAAAAAAAAAAAAAAAAACTTCACTGATTCTAATTGAATGACTAATGGGTAAATCTGACAGTTTTTCTAGAACTACAATCACCATAATATATTGCCACCCTTAAGGCATGCAAAGCACCATAGGACAAATGGTTCTACAAGAGCTAGGAATCTACATTTTGGGTTGCCCTGGTGTATATCTGCCAATATTAGCGTCCTCTGGTAGCTTCTCAGAAAACTTCAAAGCAAAACAGAATAAATACAAATACCAATGCATGAACAGAAAATATAGATGAGGTATTGTACCAGCTATTAAATCAGCACCCATAGAAAGGCAGCAGGTGTCATCCGGGCATACACCATGCAGACACACAACTGACCCATACGCACACACAACCATGCAACGGATACCTGTGATTAAAGAGAATATGCATGATGTACCTAGTCAGACACTTACAGGTCCTACACAGACACATAGGCCAAGAAGCTACATACCTCACTTCCATGTTATTTCTGGTTCCGATTCTACATTCAAGTCCTTTTAGTAGTCCATATTTTTCAAAATTATTGGAAACACTACACTGGAAACACAGGCTGTTGTTACCCCTTCCCCCTTTTTTTTCACTTGAACATTTTATTAGATAATACTACATACACAATCAATGCATTTGGAGAGGTATACATAATAAGATACCAAGTTTCCAACTATTACCCCCCACCTTTGATGTATTATAGCGATAATCTATTAACAAATGTTATAAAAACTAGTGTAAAAAATACAAATTTGTTCTTTCAACATCATCGGTCTACAATATGCTAATGTATAGTGTAATATTTTGATTCTGAAAGAAAGTTATTTTATACATAGATATTTATCTTGAAGTATGCCTCTTTGCCTCTTTTTGTATCAGATATCAGGAATATCAGATCTCTTAGTCAATTCAAACATTATCTTGTCTGCAACATTTTATGTTATTTTCACATAATATCAATTTAGATAAAAAGTAAGTAAATATGTTTTCATTTTGGTTTTATGCCTGTTACAATTGTCATACCTATCGTCTATCATATAAATTTATATTTGCATACTTTGGATGTGACTAATTTCAGCAACGCACTGGACAGACGAAGCTCTGTCAACGATGAATTTATTCTGTAGGAAATTAAATGTCAATTAATTACACTTCTTGAAAACTATAATTATCAGAGATGTCTTTTAAAATCCACGCTCCCTTAGGGGAGCCATGAAGGTTAATTGACCATGCAAACTGAATTATAATTAAAATGCGGCATTATGAGCCTCAAAATAATTGTAAGATTACGGAAAAAAAAATAAGTGAAAAAATGTCAGCAACCACAGTCAAATATATGGATTTTATAATAACAAATACCTTAAAAGAACATGTTTTATGTATCATGTTCCCATATTTACTTATGGCAATAGAGAATACAGATAATAATGTTAGTGTAGATCAAAATCCATGCTTTCACAAGGGATCTACGAAGAATAATTGACCATGCAAAATGATTGATAATTAAAATTCAACTATGTATCTCAAAATAATACTTGAAACATTTCTATATGTAAAGCTCTGGAGTTAATAAAAGAAAAATGTAACAGTGAACATTAAATATCGCCAAAGTACAAAAGCTGATTAAGTTGTCTTATGGGTAGTTTCCCATTCTGAGACAAACTTTGTCTATTTTTTCAATTTTAAATGGAATCCTATCATTTACATGATATGCTGATCCCATTTACTAAGGCAGATCGGATCCTGCAGTCTAGAACATGCACTAACGAGTTCATCTAACTGACAGACTACATTTCATACCTTTTTATGTTTCCGAATTCGGCCACAGAAATTTCAGGACAAGCCGTCCTGTGATCAGTTCTGACATGGGATACTTACATACTTACCAAGTGTCCCTAGTTAGAAGGGACAGCCCCTAGTTTACCCCCAAATCCCTCTGTTCCACTTTTCTATCCTAATGTCCCTCTTATCTAGAGCTTCATATTGTTGGTGTGTCTGCATGTATAACAAAGCTCCACAGCAATGTTTATTTAAACTACAATATATATGTTTCGAACTAAACTGTGCAAATATGACACAATTGTCTTGTTCTAAATTATTATTAGGAAGTTACCTAAAATGTCTTAGAATAGCTCCACCCTTGTTCACAACCCCATTCGCACTGTTAAACTGTCATGGCCAAATCCGTTCTTGTTTTTAACCCCTTCCTAACTCCTATACACTTAATTGTCCCCTCAATCGCCCTCAAATGCCTCTAGGTCTCCTATTCACCTTTTTTAACTGCTTGATTTCTTCTCTGGATCGATTTCCTAATCGCTGCTATCTTAGTGTTGCTGGAAATGACGTTTACTGCATCACCTTCATCTGCTCACACTATTCTTATTATGCTATTATTTATATAGCGCCAACAAATTCCGCAGCACTTTACAGTGGGTGGACGAACTAACATGTAGTTGTAACCAGACAAGTTGGACACACGGGAACAGAGGGGTTGAGGGCCCTGCTCAATGAGCTTACATGCTAGAGAGAGTGGGGTAAAGTGACACAAAAGGTAAGGATAGCATTAGACTAATGGCAGTTGCAAGAGAGGAATCAGTTGGGAGCTATTAACAGTTTAATAGATACGCTTTTATGAGGAAGTGGGTTTTTAAAGATTTTTTGAAGGAGTGGAGACTGGGTGAGCATCTAACGGAGGAGGGAAGTGAGTTTCACAGGAACGTTTCAGCCCTCGAGAAGTCTTGAAGACAAGCATCAGAGGTGGGAGTACGGACTGAAGATAGATGTAAGTCTTCAGCAGAGTGTAAGGGCCTAGATGAGACATACTTGTGAATTTGGAGGATAGATAGATGGGAGCAGCATTATGAAGAGATTTGAAAGCAAGAACCAGAATTTTACATTGAGCCCTATATCTTACAGGAAGCCACTAGATCTTGCAGTCAAACTCCCGCACATGCCAACTTCCCAGGACATTCAGAAATGGGGTGTAAGGAGGAAACGTGAGAATATGGAGGAAAGATGAGTATTCTGGGAAAACTTTCATTGACACAAGAAGCGGAGTTTGCT